GTTAAGCCAAGGGAATCGGAGAACTTCTGAGAAGCATTAAAAAAATATTGGCAAGTTGTTGGTTTTAGATGCTAAGACAAATCTGTGCCTTTTCTTCCCTATAATTTTTATTTCCCTGTAATTACCTCTGTCTACTCATCTTGGTCTGTTGACTCTTAACTGGGTTAGAAGGGATGGGGCAGCGATCAGGACCATGGACAGTGACACCAAGATCTTTGCTCCTAGAGGTCATGCTTAGTCTTAGCAAAAAGGATGTTAGAGACTAATTTGATTCCCCACCCCCAGCCCCCACCAAAATCCACACATTGAAGGAATTCCCCCAATCTGTTTTTGGAAGTAGGGTCTACAGGAGGCAATGAAGTTTAAATGAGGTGATAGGGAGGGACCCTGATCCCATAGGGAGGGAGAGAGCTGTCTGTATAAGCAAGCCCAGGGGAAAGTCTGCTCAAGGACACAGTGAGAAGATGGGCATCTACATGCCAGACACAGCTCTAACCAGGAACCACCCTGCTGGCACCTTGATCTTGGACTTCTGAGATCCAGAACTTTGAGAGAATAAATATTATTCAAGCTGCCCAGTCTCCAGGATTCTGTGTGGCAGCCTAAGAAGACTAAGACAGACAAAGAGACAAGCAAAAATGATCTGGGTGTGGCTAGAACACAGGAGAGAGAGAACTGTGGAGTTGAGGCAAGCAGAGGGAGTTGAGAATGCTCTGAAATCTCCATCACTTTCTGTCCCAAACCCACAGTTCCTAGAATGGCTGAATTGAGTGACACAAAATTAGCTCTGTGGGTATGTTGGGCCAGGGGCGGGAGGAAGGGTGCATGGGTATACCCTGCACAGGGGTGGGTAGATTCGAATAGGAACTGAGCTTATGTACATGGAGAGACACAGAGGAAAAAAAGACACAGTGGGGGAGGGGAAGGAAGCAGAGGGAATTTATGACAATGCAAAGAGAGTAAAATGTTGAAAATTGGAGCATCTGGGTAAAAGTTTACAGATATTCCTTATGCAATTCTTTTTTTTTAAATAGAGGCATGTTTTATTTATTTATTTTATTTGTTTATTTTTTGTTTTTTGTTTATACATGCACTGGGTACAGTCAGAAGCGCGGGAGGGTGAGAGAATTCACCAGAGACAGAGCGGGGAGCAGAGCAGGCAGAAGGACCGAAGTCCACTGCTGAGGGGAGCAGCGGGCGGCAGGAGAGGTCTGCGCGCCATGTGGGACCCTCCTCCAGTGGCCGGGGAGCAGCCGGGGATCGAACCGGCGCCGCAGAGACCACGGGCAGCTTCACAACCCAGCGCTCAACCGCTGCGCCACCGGGGAGGCCCTCCTTATGCAATTCTTGTAATTTTTTCTGTTAAGTTTGGGGCCATATCAGTCTACAAACTTACAAATAAATAAATCCTGTGCTACTCAGTTGTGTAGAGAAGAGTCGGCTGAGGCACCAGTCAGACATCTAACCCTGCCGCTGTCTCACCTTAGCTGTGGACCCTGCACAAAGTCCTCCCCACCAAGGTGGAGAAGTTTCTTTCCTTTGCCTTCTTTCAGCTTTCCCCAGAACACTGCATCCATTGACTTCAGGGCCTTTGAATGTACCACTCTCTGCTTGGTCCCTACCCCCAGCATCCTTCCCCTGTTCACCTCTCTTCAACCTTCAAAACTCAGGGTCAGAGCCCATCCAGGATCTTTCCAAGCACCATGGACCCAGCTGCAATTTTACATTGGGTGGTGATGTCCTAAGAGGACAACCTATCTCTGCCCCAGACTGTGAGTACCCTTTGAAGGGGGCTGCCTTGTTTTCCATGTGCCCCCAGCGCCCTGGCATATAGTTGGGTCAGATCATTAGAACGAATGAATGGAGAAAATAAGGCAGTGAGCTAGATGACCTCCAGGCTGCCCTCTGGCTCCACAGGAGTCTGCAGGAGGGCACGAGGCAAAGGAAAGCTGAAATTAATGGAAGGAGGAGGGGGTTGGGGGCACAGAACAAGCACTCTGACACCCCTGGAGAGGCAGGAAGACAGAGAAGGGACCACTGGGCTAGAAGGAATAGAATTGTAGGCTGTCTAGCACGAGACAGAGGTGCTTATGTTGAGATGCAGCTGGGCCCTGCATCAAGGAGCTGCACTCATTTCTTCCAGAATGAGGAAGACAGAAGTCTTGACAAAGGCATGCCTCCTGACTGGGGGCCCACACAGCGAGACCTCTATACTACAGACACTGGCTTACTGAAAGGGGAAAGGCACCCTCTGCAGCTGGGAGAAATTCACATTTGCAGCTGTCTTCAGCTCCATTTTTGTCCCATGAAGACTTGGAAAAGGGGGATCGCTTTTGAAATATGGAGGGGGCAGAAAAATGGAACTGGGATGAACAAGATACAAGCTCATGTACTTGGGCAGCACTTAGCATTTCCATAGCCCATCTCCCTTCACATGCCTACTAGGATTCTCAGCTTCGTGCTTCCTGCGGGCAGGACTGTTGTTCCTAGTTTACGTATGGGAAACAGAGGCACAAAGGTGCAGCTCTGAGAGTCAGTCAAGGTGACTGAGCAAGCCTGTTGGAGAATTGGGATCTGAAATCATGGCCATCTGGGTCTGAAGCTCATACCTGTGGTTTGCGTTGTGCTGCTGAAACAAAAGTAGAGTAGGTAAGGTGAGCACTGAGCTGAGTCCTAAGATAATTTCTCATATTTAGGGTGCATTGGGGTTTGCTGCTGCCTGGAGAGATGAAGTTGAATCAGAAGGTTCTTAAGGTTGAGGTCCAGGGTTGCTTTGGGCTCAGCAGAGGCCAGAACTTGTGGGATCAGATGGTAAATGAGGCAAAGACTGGCCAGAGACTCCACCCAGCCCAGACATTTGGTGCCTCTGGAAGGAACCCATGGAGAGCTGCTTTCTACATAGGATGAAACAAACCTCCCATGCTAGGAGCAGTGACCACCGTAAAAACCAGTTCTTGTCTATTCCAGAGAATTCCTAACAAAAGTTCATTGCAAAAAAATACCCTTAACTGTCCAAGCCTCAGGAGACGCTTTGTGCACAGGCACACATCAGTGCTTCTTATAATTGCGTTCAAGAGAAGGGTGTACAAGGAAGGAATACATCTGAAAGGGGGAAAAATTTAAAGACAAGAGGACAGGAGGTTGGAGCTGACAAAGGGGCCATCTTTTTCCCCAGAACACTTGCTTTCATGAAGACAAACTCCTGTAGACAATGGAACTGGACATAAGAGATTCTCAGCTATTCTGAGAAAGGGCACCTGTCACTATAAAGAACCTCAAGTATAATCACTCAACAATAGGGACATGTCCTGTGAAATGTGTCCTCAGGCAATTTTGTCTTTATGCCAGCATCATAGAATATAATTATCCAGACCCCGGTGGCACAGCCTGCTACACGCTAAGCCTCTAAGGTATAATCCACTGGGACTGTCTTCATCTATGTGGGCTGTCATGGACCAAACTGCTACGTGATGCGTGGCTACATGAGCTTGAAACTTAGAGACTGAAGACAAGTAGATTCAGAAAGGGACTAAAGTTCCCAGATGAGGCAGTGACACCCTCAACATAGCCTGGACTCAATCAACAGAGTGCTAGTGACCTCCCCAGCAGCCCACTCTGTCTTGTAACGGGGCCAATCCAAAACATGTATGGCCCATCGGGTAGTGTAGTCTGTCTTGGACTTGAACTCATGTCCCTTTCATGCCTGTTCATCAGCCTAGTTTTGCTGTCTTGGGAACGTCACTGACTGAGATTTTCTGGAGCTAGAGATCGTCTTTTTTTCAGGGTGAATGTGCTCAGTTCCTTTGACAATTCTTTCCCAGATAGTTATAGAGCGAACTCTTTGGTGTCATCTCCTGAGGGCAAACTCTTGCTTTTAAAGGGGGAGGGAGATGAGCAGATATAACCTGCCAAAGAATGAGGGAGAGACTGTGCTGATGTTTCTCCTTACCTAGTGCCTCTCTGGGGGAGAAAATGAGGCGGGGGGAGAGTTAAGGTGTGGTGGCAGACATATCGCTGCAGCAAATGGCAAAGTTTTCTTTCTATGCATTTTTTATTTCCACCAGTGGCTGTCACCCCTTCCCCCAATATCTATTGAGCACCACTGTATGCCAAATGCTGCCCTTGTGCTGGCATACAGCAGTCATTAAACCAAAGACCCCCGCTCTTGCAGGGTCCCATCTGGTGGGGAAACACACCACGAATAAGAATGTAAAATATTTAGACTATTAGGACAGTATGAATATCCTATACCTGCTTGTAATAAATTACAACCATGTGTTACTTAGCAATGTTTCTTTTTCTAAAGATTTAAAAAAAATTTATGCATCTAAGAACTGGGGTGTAGGCCAGAGGTGTGTGGGGGGAGGGGTGAGAGGACTCACCAGAGACAGAGTGGGGAGCAGAACAGGCGGATCTACGGAAATACACTGCTGAGGGGAGCAGCAGGGAGACAGGAGAAGTCTGCTGCCCCATGTAGGTAGCTCCCTGGCCAGGGATTGAACTCAGGCTGCAGTGGCTGGCAACAGCTTGATAGCACTGAGACTTTAACCCCTGCGCCACCAGGGAGGCCCTGCTTAACGATGTTTCAACAACGTTTGGGTCAGTGGTGGACCATGTGTATGATGGGGTCCCAACAGGCTACGTCAGAGAGCCTGGGGGTATAGTAGGTTACACAGGTTTGTGTCCTTAAACTCTATGACATTTGTGCAACAACAAAATGTCCTGACACGTTTCTCAGAATATATCACTATTGTTAATGAGAAATGACTATAATAGCCCATGAGATAGTTTTAGAAGAATGTTTAGAGTTCTTAAAATAGTGTTGGAATGGGAGCTTTTTTGTGTGCTTTGGGTAGTGGGGAGAAGGGGAATCCATCTTAAAGAATTCGTCAGATCTATGTGCCTGGCTGGGTCAACTGGCAGTGTCTCCAACACCCCGAGCTCAGAGAAACATCAACCCACTCTCTCCGCGGTTGGCATGTAGCCCTGAGAAGCTGTACCTGGGAAGACCTTCGTCCTGCCATTCTTCCTTCACATCTACATTTTCCATCCGGAGGGTGGCTTCAGTAGTCCCCATGGGTGCTAGGAAGAGGGGCCGACTTGAAGCAGGAACAGGCTCTGCAGGAGAGTCACAGACAGAGGTTTTACTGGCAAATCATCATAATGACAACCCACTGCTCACACAAAGCATTTCAGATAAATCTGCAAAGAGCTCGCTAGTCCATTGTTCTATGGAAACCAGTTTCACAAGGTTTTCCCATTTTACAGATGGAAAAAAAAAACCACTGTGAAATGGAGCCACAGAGGGCAGAGCACACCCACGTGGATCTGGAGTTTGAACCCAGGAAAGAGTTGCGCCTCCAGTTACAAGTCCCCTCCCTTTGAAACTCTGAAAGCGTTTATCTTGCCTCCCTTATCTTGGACTTCACCTGGGAAGCAGTTAATTAAATAAAGTCATTTATACTAAGTGTTAATGACTTATGTACTGAAGTTTCATGTTCAAATAGGAACGGGTCAACCTCAACCCACCCTCTCTGTTCTAGGCCATCTGCCCTGTCCCTCTATCCCTTGATGAGGAAGCAAGTCCTGACAACCTGCTAATGTAGGACTAGTGAAGGCAGAGCACAGACAGACGGGGCGTGAAAATTAGGATCACAATTCTTACCAACCAATATGCCTGTTTCGTTTTCATTGTTCTGAGGAGCCAGCTCAGAGGACAGGTGGTGTTGGGGGCATCGCTCTAACTGGTGGCTTAAGACCAGGCTGTCTGGGAACAGATCAGAGCTGCTAAGTGAGACTAAATTTGGGGTGCCCTGGGGCCCAGCATTTACCTTTCTCAGCCAGTTTCTCTGTAAATGAAAGAGGTGGACTAGAAATGACCTTTATGATACCTTTTTGGTTTAACAGTCCAGAATCTTATCACTCAATCAACACCACTGGTTCTGTTTTTAAACCAGTGGTTCTCAACCAGGGGATGACTTTGCCCTCCCTCCTTCAGGGAACACTGGCAAATTCTGGAGGCATTTTGGTTTGTTACAGCAAGGGGTGGGGGTGCTATTGGCATCGAGTAGGTAGAGGCCAGGAATTATATTTGACATCTCACTGGGCCTGGGGCAGCCCCCCAAGAATGATCTGGGCTTAAATGTCCAAAGGTCTGAGGTTGAGAAACCATGTTTTAATCTGTACATTTCTGCCAGGACTACAGGAATAGGTCTGTCAGTCATTACAGAGGGCCTGTTTCATCAAGTCCCAGCCTTCCATCCTCTAAACAATGCTAATGTGGTTACACTTACTTGACAGCATCTAAGTTCCCTGCCTGCAGACCCTCGCTCTCCCTTGCAACTGCAGCTGCCCTTACAGAGCTGGCTTGTGACAAACAGCTTGGGTGTGGAAGCCCCTCACAGACACAGCCCCTCTGGGAGTCTGCATTTGGGATTTCGGATCAGGGAGGGAGGATCCAGAGGAAACTGCTCCAGGAGAGGGTTAGGCATGGCGGGGAAGGAACGGCCAAAATGTGACCCTCCCCCACTTGAGTGAGAGTTTCTCACTAGATTCTAGTCACTGTCCTGATGTCGTCATTCATTCAAGGAGGAGGGAAAGCAAGACGCAATACGGAAAAAAAAAATTTCCCTTCCTCACGCTACAACAGCAACCACCCAGAACCTTAAGCAAGGGAAAGTTCCACTCGATGGAAATTCATGTCCTCTCTGAAGGGAGTGGTCTTTGCCTGTTTTCCTTATCCCAAGCTGGGCGTGACTCAGTCCCCAAGAAAGATCCCACCCCCACCCACAGGGGAGACTTCAGAGCCATAGATACTGGCCCATAATCCTCTAATTGTGGGGTGTGGGTGGGTCCCCAGTGGATCCTGTCTACACCCACCATCTGATCCTGACATCACATTTAAGGATGGAGAATAAGGCACAGCAAGGGACAGCTGAGAAGTGTTTCTCTGCGCTCTGAGCACGTCAAATAGGAGTTCAGATAGAGAAGGAGGGCTCTGTCTTCAACCATCTTTCTCCTGCATCTTGTGTAGACATTATTAATATATTAATACATATAACGTTTACACATTATTAATATATATAATTAATTTGTCGGTCACTTACATAGCTATAAAACTTTTGGGGCTACATTTTCACGCCTCCATATGTGTATTTATGTACACACTTATCAAATCTCTTTTCTAAATCTGCTCACAATGTTATAATAGGAAAGGCACAGAGGCGGGACGTGTACATCTCAGTCTCTTAGGAGCGTCCCCCCGAGGGGCGGAGAGTTCATCCGCCTCATCTCCAGGCACGTCCTGAAAATGGTGCAGCCCTTTGCCTTCCAGATGACCGGTGGGCATGGAAGGTGAAAGGTGGGTGTGTGTGCTGGCCGGTAGGCTTCCTTGGCACGGGGAAAATGGATGTTACCAACCCAAGAGTCACAAGGCCCGAGGTTCTTTGGCCCCCACCCACCCCCTCCGCAGGAAAGCGGGGGGCGGGGGGGGGCAGCATCTGCTGTCTGGGACAACCTTCGAGAAAGGAAGGTGGGACTCACCTCCGCGGCGAGTCCGGGTTCCCTCTGTGGCCTCTCCTGATTACGCGCAAACAAAGGCCGGCATCCCTCGCCTTTCCGAGCGCGGTCCCGGGGCCTTCAGCGCACAGAAGGAAGAGGTGCCCGGGGTGGGGGTCGGGGGGGCTCCGCATCCAAGGAAGGTCACCCAGGATGACGCGGCGGGCGCAGACGGGCGCTCTTCCCCAGGGTGCGGGGAGCGGCTCGCAGTCAGCGCTTGGCTCCTCCTCGCTCCGCAGTGGCTGCGCTCGCTGTCATCGCCGCCGGTGCGGTGCCTCCGAGGTATTTTCTTCTTTTCCAGCTCCCAGCTGTCAGAGTCTTCCTTAAGACAGTTAATTATGCAGCTTTTGTGTGCAGGGTGGATGAGTGGGGGCAGGGTTGATCAAAAAAGCACAGCCCCCTGCCAGCATCCCGTCCTCTCTATTGGCTGCAAGAGAACCATTTCCAAGAGCCTCACCAGCGGCAGAAGCGGAAATGATTTCCTGATGGCGCATCACCGATTTAAAAAACAAAACAAGGAACAAATAAATAAATGGCGGCCATGGCCTCATTCCTTAGTTACCGAGGGAGGGATGCACCCATGGCCTCAGGACCCCATTTCGTGGGTCCCTCCGCCGGCCACTCACTGACTGAACAGTGCGCCCAGGGTCCGGCTGGGTGCAGCCAAAGCGCCCCCTGCAGTTGTGCGCTGGGGTGGTTCTACTTTGGAAGACTTGGGAAAGATGCTGTAGGGCAGAGGCACGCGGGGTTGAGAGTGCCCACTCTGAAATCAGACCGTAAGTGGGTTTGAATTTGGCCCCACCGCTCACTAGCTGGGAGGCCTGCAGGGGTAAGTGATCTTATCTGCTGGGCTTCAGCCTCCTCGTGTGTGAAGTGGAAACTGTATGCTGCTGTCATGTCAGCATTTACGGAAGTAAAGCCGGGAGCATGCTTAGCTCAGTGCCAGGGAATGAGAAAGGCTCCATACCTGTTTCTTGTGATTGCTGGTTTTATTTTTAGACGTGTAGAGGGATGAATGGTAACTGCCCCAAAGATAGGTTCATGTCCTAATCCCTGCAACTTGTGACTGATTTTATTTGGAAAAGGAGTCTGTGCAGATGGAATCGAGTTAAGGATCTGGAGATGAGATCATTCTTGATTTAAGGTGAGCCCTGAATCCAATGGCATATCAGCAGGGAAGCCATGTGATAACAGAGGCAGAGACCAGGGTGCTGCATTTGTTTAACCCCAGGAACACCAAGGACTGCCAGTGACCTCCAGAAGCCAGGAGAAAGGCATGAAGTGAATTCTCTTTTATTTTATTTTATTTTTTTAATTGGTGTTTGTTTGTTTGTTTTTAAGATTTATTTATTTATTTATACAAGCACTGGGTACAGTCAGAAGCACAGGAGGGTGAGAGAATTCACCAGAGCCAGAGCAGGGAGCAGAACAGGCAGAAGGACCAAGGTACACTGCTGAGGGGAGCAGCGGGCGGCAGGAGAGGTCTGCGCGCCATGTGGGACCCTCGCCCGGTGGCCAGGGATTGAACCGGTGCTGCAGAGGCTGCGGGCAGCTTCGCAACCCAGCGCTCAACCGCTGCGCCACGGGGGAGGCCCGTGAATTCTCTTTTAAAGCCCAAATGGAGGGCCTCCCCGGTGGCGCAGCGGTTGAGCGCTGGGTTGCGAAGCTGCCCGCGGCCTCTGCGGCGCCGGTTCGATCCCCGGCTGCTCCCCGGCCACCAGAGGAGGGTCCCACATGGCGCGCAGACCTCTCCTGCCGCCCGCTGCTCCCCTCAGCAGTGTACTTCGGTCCTTCTGCCTGCTCTGCTCCCCGCTCTGGCTCTGGTGAATTCTCTCACCCTCCCGCGCTTCTGACTGTACCCAGTGCTTGTATAAACAAAACAAACAAACAAACAAACAAACCAGCAAACAAATAAATAAAGCATGCCTCTATAAAAAAAAAAAACTGCAAAAAAAAATAAAGCCCAAATGGAGCCAACCTTGCCAGTACTTTTATTTCAGGCTTCTGGTGTTCAAAAGCACGAGAGAAAAACTTTCTAATGTTTTGAGCCACCGAGGCTGAGGTGTTTTATTGCAATAGTGACAGGAAACTAACATATGACCCCAAGTAAGAATGAATTCTTGGGCCTCCCCGGTGGCCCAGCAGGTTGAGTGCTGCGCTGTGAAGCTGTCCACAGCCTCTGCAGTGCGGGTTCGATTCCCAGCCAGCCAGGGAGAAACCCTCATGGCGCAGCAGACCTCTCCTGCCTTGCCCTCTGCTCCCCTGAGCAGTGTCTTCGGTCCATCTGACTGTTCTGTTTCCTGCTCTTTCTGGTGAATTCACTCACCCTCCCGTGCCTCTGACCTGTACCCCAGTTCTTGTATAAATAAATAAATCTTTAAAAAAAAAAGAATGGGGACTCGCTGGTGGCTCAGTGGGTTGAGCGCCGTGCTGTGAAGCTCTCCGCAGCCACCTGTATGGCGTGGCAAACCTCTCCTGTCGAACCCGCTGCAGTGTATTTCATCAGTCTACCTGTTCTGC